TATATTGAAGAGTGGGATCGAGTTCGAAGTCCATAGTGCTGGCCAGTGGGCAATAGTCGAGCATGAGTTCCTTGTGGCCTGTTGTGAGTCACTATGGTACCTGTTTGTATGAGCAAATAGAGTATGCTACCTTGCAGTCAGGCCACAATGCTACTCTACTCACTGCGGATACCTGCACTGAGCACCATGATGGCAAGGATATTGTGCAGTTTGCTTATCATGTTACTGACAGGTGTTTAATAAATATATTAGCAATGTTTGGCTCAATATAGGAAGAGTTTTGCACGGCACTTATGTTGTCTTGAGCGATTTGCTTCGAATACTATTATTAAATTATGCCTTTGCTGGACAGCCGTGGTCCAATGTAGAATCAAATTTCTGCCACCTGAACATGTACTGCTTGCAAACGTAAGCAATAAATCCTGATGTAAATGGTACTATGAAGAGGAATAAGTTGGCAGATATTATTAATGGCCAATGGTGCTCTTGCGGTCATACTTTCCAACTGTGTTGTCAAAAGAAATAAAATATTGGACACACGAACGACAAAGTCTCGAGAGCCTTTTGCATTGTCAGCTAATGCATATGTTATCTATCTCGCTTAGGTGGATCGTCTGATATAAAAGCACAGTTGCCAATATCAAAATGGATCTTTGTACAAGCAGATTTGGTATTGAAGGAAACCAGCAAATCAGAACACAGGGTGACTGCAGCATGGGGCTCTCGCTACATATCCTGTCCACACTATCCCGGATTCCCTTATATAGACACTGAGGGTTCTTCATCACTCGTGTTCTGGCTAAATAATATCCCGGAATAGGTGTACTAGCTGTGGTAAGAATTGCTGTTCTGCTGAAGATCAAGTTCACTATGCGCAACCACACCCTTGAAGATGTTGAGTTCTGCGTACTTTAGGAAAGGGTGCTTTAAGTTTGGAGCTGGATTGGAACCCAATCTAATCTCACACTTGAAGAAGATGACAACGATGGTCCTTTGTATCTTGCTTTCCGCAAGAATAGAATACTCTATAGCATGGGCCCTAGAATGGAAGCATATCGGTCGTCTTGGATGATTGGGTGGAATGCCACATACTAGGGAGATATAAAGCTAGCATGCTAGTGATATCGAAGAAAGCGCTAGATGTGCTTGTAAAGAGCGTGACCAACAGACGGTGGCACCAACAGCTGCTCTCGTTAAATGGCTGAACCAGTTCACCGCGTCATAGATAAAGCGGTTTACTATAGTGATTTGTGGTAGTCCAGTGAATGCCTCCTGCCTCAACGCCCGATCAAAAGCACACAGCTGAGACAACTAAACACAGCACATACACGCACAGCACAGAGGGAACTCCATGTCAGTGCACATTCCTTTCCACTAAAGTAGTGAGATGAGGAGGGGTGATGTATTATTTCACTTGAACCGCCGTGTAGAACGGTGCATGCTGGTGGTAGTGGTGCTTAGCTCGGTGGAGCTGTAAAATTGAGAGCGCTTAACAAAGCGCGGCGACGAGCGGTTACTGACAAGGTCGGTTTTTGTTGGCCGCTGGGCACTGATCTCGTTGAGACGCAGCAAAAGCGATGGCCGCTCGTTCTCATGATAGTCGCCAATGGGCTCGGGCTGGTGATGCAGGCTAGACATGCTTTTTGACGACGACAATGGGCGAGCCTCGTCCTGCGAGGCAGCGGTTGGCGCCTTATGGTACCGCCTGCTAGTATTGACTGCTCTGCCACGCACTCCCCCAAGGCTTGGCCGTCCTGCCGAGGACGACGACCCTGTGAAGGACCGCGGCAGAGTCGCTGCACGCTGCGAGTGCTTATCGACAGCACCACCACGTGCCATGACCTGCGTTGGCTGCAGGCGGCTAAGCTCATTGTCATCCTCGCTATCGCCAACAATCGTCATGCGCTGGAGGCTCACCGGCGGCCCACGTGCTGGCAGCTGCTGATTTTCGTCAGCAGATTCAACCCCTGGGCTAGCATTGCTCTCTATGGGCATCACCGGTGTTGTCGACGATGCATTGCTCTGGCTACGCGAATGCACAAGGCTACTGTTCATGACTGGCGCTGAGAATGCTCCTTGCTCCAGAACTGCTCCTGATATGACCTCTGAGGTATCCATTGCCGGAGGAACCTCAATGGTGCTGGCCTCACTAATTACTGGCGATGGCTGCACCGCCAGCTTGGCAGCCGGCTTCCCTGCCAGCACGCTGATTTCTGACAGCTTTGGGATGCGCGATTCTTGCTCCTTAATACGCTCGTTTGTTTCGTTAATCTGCACAGCCCGCTCCGACACACGCGAAGCCCGTGGCAGCTTTACCTTGCCTCTGCTGCCGCCATTGGTCTGGTCCGCCAGCGGATTACTCGCCCCGTGTGTCTTTTCAATCCATTTGACACGATCAAACACCGAGCCGCGTGGCAGTGGGATCTTTGACGCCGGGTCCTGCATACGAGAAAAGAGATGTAGATAGTGAGTGGGAGGGAGGCTGTGTGTGAGGGAGGAAGGGGGATATGAAAAAAAAAAAAATAAAGAAACGAGTACGAAAAATTGCAGAGACAAAGAGGCGGCTGTGGCCCAGCTGTGGATCTGCCCAGGTTTTGAATGTTTGGGCCTGGCGAACGAGCTCGATGCAGCAATCTGCACGATTCGCATTCCATTGAGGTTTTTTCTCTTTCTTCGCTCGGCGGCAGATAATTAAAGCAACTGCTGTTTTCTAAATAAAAGGAGCCGCTTTGTCGAAAGTCGCTTGCACCCCTCTTTGCAGAGTCGCAACCATTGCTTTTCGAATCTATTTACTCCAGGAGACCGTGGCTAGGGAAAAGGGCAGTGGCAATGGTCTATGCTGGATTTGCCAAGACCTGTGTGCTGGGCAATAGATAGTAGTCTCGTTTGCCAGGCCCAAGCTGCATAAAAAGGTAGAGAAGGCGCAAAAAAAGCTGCAGATCCCGCTGGTTCTGGTTTCCCGCACAGCTCAAAAACAGCAACACCAATTGTTTTCGTACTCCGCTGAGTGCGCGATGGTCTTGTACCAGTCTGTCCGGTCCAACAAGTTTCACAGGATGCATTAGTTTCAAAGTCTAAAGCATGCATTTAGGCTCGGCGCACAAGCAAGAGCCCATCAAATACAGGCAGCAGAGTCTGGACTGTACGTGAATCCTGTGCGACATGCTGGTTAAAGTCAAGGAGCTTCTTGGCAATACGCAATCTTTTGCCCTCATCGGCCATTTGCTTGCCAAGCGCGACTTGAGGGACTTGGCCATGAAACAGCACGTTATCAACGACGATCAGTCCACCTTGACTCAGCAACCCCCGGTCCATGATTAGGTCATAGTAACCCTTGTATCCAGACTTGTTGGCGTCGATAAAAATAAAGTCCAGCAACCGCCTGTCAGCCAGATCCCAGTCTCGCAGGACCTTGTCGGCCGGCTCTGGAACCACGCTTATTCTCTGCAGAAGGCCAGCCTGTGCTACGTGCTTCGCAGCATGGTCAGCTACTCGCATATCTCGCTCACAAGTCCACACATGGCCCTTGTCATTGCCGAGTCCATGTGCCAACCACAGTGCCGAGTACCCCAAATAGCATCCGAGCTCAAGGACATTCTCCGCTTGTGCTGCCCTGACCATTTGCGCCATAAATGAGCCTTGCAACGGCGAGATCATCTTGCGCGCTTCGTGTGCATCAAAGCTGATCGCCTGCTCACGTACCAGCCGAAATGGCTCTGGCTCTTGTTCCGAAATTTGCTGCGAGTATGTAATGGCGTGTGCAACCGATCCGGACGAGGCAGTCTCTAGGAATGGGTGCAGTGTGTGTCGAGTGCATGATGAGTGCAATGCTCGGATCAGGCTCTTCGGTTGCCAGAGCCTAGACATCATTGAGCCAATGGTTCTAAGGGTAGATAAGTAGAATTACTGAATGTGCTTAATAGGACACTCACATAAACCAGTGTGTGGAGTGTGTATCCAGTGCCATTAAGCTGGAGCCATATGGGACATTAATTGCACCACAGCTGCTGATGTTCTAGATGTTGTCCATACACATGGGCGATGTATTAGCTATGCAAAGTGTCCGCGCTATGAACAGTTGTGTGGGGGGTTATCTGGAGAAATGCCTACATCCGCCAGCTTGGGTTAAGAACTGAAGGATCAAGGCTGAGCCGACTCGCAGGCGGTTCGGTTGTTGCTACGACTCGTTTACATGTAGCAGATTGTAAATAGATTCATTGGGCAAATGTCTTCGTTGCTCAGGAATTCTGCATTATCTATCACCGCGCCGGCATTTACCATGCATTCCAGTAGTAATTTAGTCCATTGTACTCGTCAGTATTGGACTTGTGTCAATCCAGAATATTGATAGTCTAAGGTATGGAAACATAACGCTAGGAATCCCATGTTTAATAAGCTATCCTCTCCATCATAATGGATAAAATGTGAGGTTATCGATGCAACCCAGAATTAAAAGGTAATAGCACAAATAGTCGCTAAGCTACACAGCAGAAACATAATTAGCACGAAGTGTCCAGTGACAACTACTACAATATACATCCTACACAGGAGAACCAAACCGGCAGCATCTTTTCCTGCAGATAAAAATATGTGGCATGTTTATACGCCTGCAATAATCCAGCTGTTCTTTTGTCAATGTTTGCACAAGAGTGATAGACATTATGACTTAAGCTTATATGTGTGAGCCTAGCGATTATCAGAGAATGCAAATAGCACGAGAGTCATGGCACCAAGGCACACTCATGAAGAGTATACTTTCCTAAATACAATATGATATATGGAGTAGCTGATGAGGAAGCTGGCTGACAGACACCCTGAAGCCCTCGTGCTTCGTAATGCAGGGGCACACCACATGGAAGCATGTAGTTTTCTTGCTGGATAATATCAAGGGGTGCTCAGCATCTCGATTCGATGGGTCACAACAGAATGTATATTGTAACACTTGAGGGAACTAGTGCAGAATATAAGGTGTTCATATTTGTAAAGGATATGATAGTGAAGTAATGTTGAGTAGGAATCAATATGATCAATAGCCATTGAGAATGTACTATTTGACCTACTTTCTGCCGTAGCTACCTGAGCCATCGTTAGCACTCGGAGCACCGTACGACTGAGCCGGGGGAGGAGCACCGTATGACTGAGCTGGTGCAGGGGCAGGAGCCGGAGCAGGAGCACCATATGACGCTGGGGCCGGAGCGCCATATGACTGAGCTGGAGCCGGAGCCGGAGCCGGAGCCTGAGCAGGGGCTTGGGCTGGGGCGCCGTATGATGCTGGAGCAGGAGCAGGAGCAGGAGCAGGAGCAGGAGCAGGAGCAGGAGCAGGAGCAGGGGCTTGGGCTGGGGCACCGTATGACGCTGGAGCGGGAGCACCGTACGAAGGAGCCTGGGCCGGAGCCTGAGCAGGGGCTTGGGCTGGGGCGCCATATGACGCTGGAGCAGGAGCACCGTACGAAGGAGCCTGAGCCGGTGCAGGTGCAGGTGCAGGTGCAGGTGCATGGGCTTGGGCTGGGGCACCGTATGACGCTGGAGCGGGAGCACCGTACGAAGGAGCCTGGGCCGGAGCCTGAGCCGGAGCCTGAGCCGGAGCAGGGGCTTGGGCTGGGGCGCCATATGACGCTGGAGCAGGAGCGCCGTACGAAGGAGCCTGAGCTGGAGCCGGAGCCGGAGCAGGGGCTTGGGCTGGGGCGCCATATGACGCTGGAGCAGGAGCACCGTATGAAGGAGCCTGAGCCGGAGCCTGAGCCGGAGCCGGAGCCGGAGCAGGGGCAGAAGCTGTATAACCACTAGGAGAGGGAGCAGAAGAACCATAAGCAGGAGCAGGGGCGGGGGCAGGGGCAGGGGCAGGGGCTGGAGCTGGAGCCGGAGCCGGAGAGGAGCCATACCCTGAAGGAGGAGGGGGAGATGATGGGGCTGACGAGTAACCACCGCTTGGCGGGGCTGACGAGTAACCACCGCTTGGCGGGGCCGACGAGTAGCCACCGCTTGGCGGAGCCGACGAGTAACCACCGCTTGGCGGAGCCGACGAGTAGCCACCGCTTGGCGGAGCCGATGAGTAACCACCACTTGGCGGAGCCGACGAGTAACCACCGCTTGGTGGGGCCGACGAGTAGCCACCACCACCGCCGCCACCAGAGTTCTTCTTCTTGCGGTGCTTCTTGAAGAGGTCCTCGTTTTCGTCATCGAGTGCTACGCGAATCCGCGAGTCTGGCATGCCAGCCTTTCCGGGCTCAACCATTTCAACAACAGCAGCACTGCTGTCGGTAGGCGCCTGCTTGGCCAACACACCAAGTGCCAGAGCAGCAACAAATCCGAACTTGACTAGCATTGGCAACAATAACCGAAGGGGTGAAGTGATAGGAGAAATGAGGTGAAGGAGAGGAGGTATGCGAGGGTGCAAGTATGCTTTTTTTGAGTGTATATCAGTAGAGATGCCTGAAAGAATGCTGATGGTACTGATGCTTGCGACGGGGTTGCTTTTTATACACCTCTTTCTACAACATGCATGCAAACGCTCTGTTTCTGGGAAACATGGGTGTATTTTGTAGAGTGAAGCTGGGCGCACTTGGTCGAGGAAGCCCTGGATGATCTGGCCTAGAATGCGATTTGTAGCATACCCATCCATGACTGAAACAGGCAGGTGGATCTAGCACCCGTAGATATAATGCTCCGGATAATACAGGTGGTTTTCAGCGCGTGGGGCTAGGACGTGTCGCAGGTGGGTCGGCAGTGGAAGTTAAAAATCGGGGCAGCCATATGGAGCTCGGCACACGGCTTATTGTACAATCTGGACCCCCACGTGTCGCATAAAGATTAACCACCTGGATGGTGTCAGTGAGAGAATGGGTTGCGCCTGTATTCGCCATGCTCCATATTTTCAGACTGATCCTTTTAGGTGTACTGGGACTCAAAGTGTGCCAATTATATGCAGCCAGTATGGCTGCCTGTGTGACTGGGGCTGAGCTGGCGCCGGTCATACAGGTGGGGGAAGTAATGGTTACCATTGCGCTTTTTGCAGGAATGAAACATAGATACTGAGAGGGCTTATCCTCCTTTGAAAAAGAAGGGGGGCCAATTCGTTGGTAGCTATACTCACCCACACAGCCAAAATGCAATGGACCATGTGGCACTACATACATTAAAAATTCCCCTTTCCCTAGTGGCAGGACTGCCACAGTGCATTGCAGACCACCACCACCAAATTCAGTATAAAAGAGCGAGAGCAGACGAAAAGCATGCAGAGTAAAATCTGTATCCTCAAGTATCTTCAGGCACTTGCAAAAATAGCTTCAATAGGCAATATCTCACTGCAGAACGTAGACTTCATAGATTCTTTTAGACACAGACCCATCTAGTTTCACTCAGTACTAGCATACTCGGATAATCAAACGACAATATGCAGATCAACATCGCCGCCCTTGCTGTTCTCGCCCTCTCGATTGGCACCTTTGCCTCGCCAGCCTTCAAGGGCGTACATTTTGCTAACTACGGATCGAGCTACGGATCGAGCGCTGTTGCCTCTTCCTCGGCTGCTGCTGCACCAACCTCTGCTGCTGCTGCACCCACATCGGCTGCCGCTGCACCCACATCGGCTGCTGCTGCACCAACCTCAGCTGCCGCTGCACCAACCTCAGCTGCCGCTGCACCCACATCGGCTGCTGCTGCACCAACCTCAGCTGCCGCTGCACCCACATCGGCTGCTGCTGCACCAACCTCAGCTGCTGCTGCACCAACCTCAGCTGCCGCTGCACCCACATCGGCTGCTGCTGCACCAACCTCAGCTGCCGCTGCACCCACATCGGCTGCTGCTGCACCAACCTCAGCTGCCGCTGCACCTACATCGGCACCTGTCCCTGGCGGGTACGCGTCGAACGGGTCGTATGGGTCGTACGGGTCATCGGGTGTCGTGCCCCCGGTCACCACGACAGTGACGGTCACTGGTCCTGCAACCACCGTGACTGCTCCTGGGACCACAGTGACCGCTCCTGCAGGCACCGTGACCAATACAGTTACTGCTCCTGCGACCACCGTGACTGCTCCTGCAACCACCGTGACCGCTCCTGGGACCACAGTGACCGCTCCTGCAGGCACCGTGACCAATACAGTTACTGCTCCTGCGACCACCGTGACCGCTCCTGGGACCACAGTGACCGCTCCTGCAGGCACCGTGACTGCTCCTGCAACCACCGTGACCGCTCCTGCAACCACCGTGACCGCTCCTGCAACCACCGTGACTGCTCCTGCGATCACCGTGACCGCTCCTGCAGGCACCGTGACCAATACAGTTACTGCTCCTGGGACCACCGTGACTGCTCCTGCAACCACCGTGACCGCTCCTGGGACCACAGTGACCGCTCCTGCAGGCACCGTGACCAATACAGTTACTGCTCCTGCGACCACCGTGACTGCTCCTGCGATCACCGTGACCGCTCCTGCAACCACCGTGACCGCTCCTGCAACCACCGTGACCGCTCCTGGGACCACCGTGACTGCTCCTGCGATCACCGTGACTGCTCCTGCAACCACCGTGACTGCTCCTGCAACCACCGTGACTGCTCCTGCAACCACCGTGACTGCTCCTGCAACCACCGTGACCGCTCCTGGGACCACAGTGACCGCTCCTGCAGGCACCGTGACCAATACAGTTACTGCTCCTGGGACCACCGTGACTGCTCCTGCAACCACCGTGACCGCTCCTGGGACCACAGTGACCGCTCCTGCAGGCACCGTGACCAATACAGTTACTGCTCCTGCGACCACCGTGACCGCTCCTGGGACCACTGTGACCGCTCCTGGGACCACTGTGACCGCTCCTGCGATCACCGTGACTGCTCCTGCGACCACTGTGACTGCTCCTGCGACCACTGTGACTGCTCCTGCGACCACTGTGACTGCTCCTGCGACCACTGTGACTGCTCCTGCGACCACTGTGACTGCCACCTCGACGGTGACTAACACAGTGACGGCACCAGCACCTGGTGGATATGCTAGCGGTGGATACAACAATGGATACAACAGTGGAGCTGCGGCTGCTGCTCCTGCCCCTACTGCATCAGCTGGCCCTACTCCGACCTCTGGAACTGCTGCTGCCCGTGTCTAAAAGTGAAAATGCTGTCTAAAAGCGGAAATGGATGGTTTCCGTCGTTTGTTTTGTGTCTCTTTGCATCTAACTCCAATCCTTTACATTCTTACTAAGCGCATTGAGTCGTTTGTAGTCTACCTTGCAAGTGGATGTTTTTATTTAAAAAAAAAGCCTGTCAATACTAGCTATTTGTTAAGCAGAATATCGATTTCACGTTTCATATCTTTCAATAGCGCTTATAGTTGCCACTGAGAGTACCCTGAAGAAATGTAGATGGCGTTAAAAGTCCATGCCATTTGCATATCCACGCGTATTCGGGGGCGCTACACAGCATGCTGGAATAAGCCGAGTGTATCCCTATGTATGGGCCGAATTGAGAAGAGAACTGTGGGGTTAGTTGAGATTCCAAGCCAGCAGAAACTTGCGAATATGCTTGTGATTGCATGCTGCTCCAGAGTGTAGTTGGTTCTGATAGCGGAAGAATCACAGTCAGAGTTGGCCAGTTTGATGGTGACGCAGAGGCAAAGGCGATAAACAGGAATGTAAAACCGAATGAGTACTGCATAGTGAAGAGGAGGATGCAGTTTACACAATGACAGGTAAAGTACGTTAGTTGAAGGAGCATCCTTATAAATCGAGGATTGGGTGTATAGAAACAACCACGTATCATGTTGAGGAATGCGTGTGCGATTTGAGGCAGATTGGGTATTCGGTTATATGGACCCAATGTCAGAAATTGGCCGCATTTGTTGCGGAATAACTTTCTGTATGCAGTCTATGCTACTGGCGACAAATAAAAGTGCATTTAAAGCAGCGAGCAGAGGCCAAAATGCAAATGATGATTAGTGAGCTCGGATGCCAAGCAGCCGTTGAATGAATCATCGCATTCGGTAGTTACTCCGAACAACCAGACATGAGAATCACAAAAGGCGGGTAGGTTGCTGAGTCTAGGCTGGAATTTGTCCAATAATGAGGAGACTTAGGCTACTGAGAAGGAGCTAGTTCTGCTCAAGGGCCAGTACCAAAGCAGAACCATGAGGGTGTCTTGGAGTTGCAGAGCGAGTCTAGGTAGCTGGAAATCGAGGAGACAGCGCTCTGGTAGTCGCTGATCTGCGAGCCAATCTGCATGTTAATCTGTGAATTAAACTCTGCCTGGGCCGAGTTGAACTGGGAGCTGAGACGGGTGTCGGCTGAACTGAGAGACATGAGCTGGTCGGAGAGTTGGGCTTCGGCGGTACTCCACATCTGGTCAGCTCGGGAAAGAGCACTGGTCAGGGTTGGCCAGTTCGCTGGTACAGCAGCAGCACAGATGGCCAGGCCGAGTGAGGCCAGGGTGAAAGAGCGCGTAGAGAGTACGTGCATTTGGGGAATGCGATTATGGTATGTTGACGACGGAGTGAGGCGGTCCAATGAACGTATCTATGGAATCAGTGTGGTAATCGGGTTATATAGGGAGTGAATGTGTTTTGTCTTCTGGGGTGGGCGGACTTGTCAGTGGGAGTTGTGGCACCATTGTATGGGCTACATGGAGTGAATTATATCCAGGCATCGAAGCCTCCGCTCTTGGCGTATTAGCATTGGCAAGAGGGCGGTGTGTCAGTGGCACTGCACTCAATGACAAGTCAGCAGGTAAGGAGCACTGCATCTCTGGCGCACCAGCCAAAAACGAAGTGGTGGGAAAAGTCACGGGCCTCGTGGACAGCAGGTTAGCAGCAACTATCGAGCAAGTCGCGTCCCAGCACAGCCTGCATTGGCTTCCCCCCTAGTCCTTGTGTGTGCAGCATGGCCAAAGGCTGGCTTTAATTGTGCCTTTGAAGTGGCTATTGCTTCTTCTCAGTCACTAAGCGCTTTTATTGGTATTCTAGCAGCAAACTCTTACAGTCGTATATACACTTCCAAAATGACCTCGGCAGTGGTGGAATTCGTTCAGACGCAGCCGCCAGGCGAGTCCGAGACAGTGCGTTTGTTTTTCTGGGGCGTGATCTTCGGCAGCTATGCGATGACGTGGGTACAGCAGCGCGGAGAGCGCAACTTTTCGACAGTCGACCGGCTCTGGGCGCTGATGCCAACCATCTACGGGATTCTGTGGACTCACGAGCACTACCTTTCGGACGGCTACCTGCAGGTTTCCAGCAAGGCGGTATTTGTGCAGACTGTAGTTTTCGTGTGGACTGTGCATCATACCCGCAACTTCTGGCGGCGCGGTGGGTTTTCGGTGGGCTTTGAGGACCACCGGTGGGCGCATGTGCGCGGACAGCTCCACAAAACCCTGGGCTGTCTGTATGCAGTTGGATGGGAGGTATTCAACTTTGTGTTTATTGCTCTGTGTCAGCACGCGCTCTTGTATGGAATTGCGTTGCCACTTCGGCTCCTGCAGGACAGCGAAGTGGAGAAAGAGTGGTCGATGGCGGAGTATGGGCTGGCGGGAGTTATGTGCTTGGCACTGGTGGTGGAGATTGTTGCAGACGGGCAGCAGTATGCGTTCCAGCAGAGGAAGCTCAGTGGTGCGAACAGCGCAGAGGTGCGGGCCGGGTTTGTGCACTCAGGACTGTACAAGTATGCGCGGCACCCGAATGTGTTCTGCGAGCAGATACTGTGGGTAGCACTGGCAGCATTTGCGCTGGCAGCGACCGGGGCACCCGTGGGTGGATTGTACTGCGGCGGGGCGTGTGGGCTGGTAGGGCTGACACTGATGTCGGTACGCTTGACAGAGGCAATCAGCGCCAGCAAGTACCCGTTGTACCGAGCGTACCAACTGAAGACCAGCAGCCTGGTGCCATGCATGCCCAGATCCAACGAGAGTGTGATCCAAAGCGCAGCCAGGCGACAGTAAAGTAAAAAAAAAACAAAAATAAAAACAAAAACGGGAGGAGCTGAGGTAGAAAAAACGCGATAAATAAATTGCTCAATGAAAGTGATTTTTGTTACGCCTCGTCGAGCTCACGTAGAAACACACCCTGCTGCGGATGCCCTGACTCGTCCGATAGCCCAAGCCCAGTATTTGTGGTTTGGTTGTGTGGCAAGGCATTCGTCTGGTTGGCGTTAGAGTGGGAGGGACTAAATTCAGGGAACTCGGCATAGTCAATCTTGCTCGAGAACTTGCTACGCTGCTTGCTGCGGCGCCAAAACAGGAATGCAATGAATGCGCCAGCAAGCACCACTACGCCGCCGACTACTATGCCAATGATAGCGCCGGTAGGGAGATTCGACTTTTTTTTGGTATCCTGTAAAGTCGGCTTCTTTGTCGGCGACGGTGTCCCTGTGGAGGTGTCAGTTGAGGCTGGTGTTGGCTCGGTGGATGTCGGGGAATGCGATGTCTCCACGGCTGTGCTGTGTTTAGCGGAGGAATGTTTGGTGGTTGGCGTCGGAGGGAAGGATGTCACAGTAGTGGTTGAGGTCACTGTCTCAGTGTCGCCGGTATCCATGTCGGTCGGTGTGCTGGTAATATGCTCAGTGGTATCGGAGGTTGGTTCCGAGCGCGTCATGCTAGTAGGCTCGGATTTGGTGGTCCCGGTACTCTCCGTACTCTGTGTAGTATGCGTGGCCTTTGTGGTGTCAGTAACGCCAGTGTCGCTAGCTGATGGCTGCTGGTCAGTGGATGGCAATTCTTGCGCAATGACCAAGGCACAAAGGCCCAGAAGAAAAGCAAGGTAAGTGGCCTTCATTAAAATATATGTATAACAAGGAAAATGAAGAAAAAGCCTCGGAAGAGCTGGAGAGAGAAGGGGGAGAAGTGGAAGTAAAAAATAAATTCCAGGATGAACAGCTGCACAAACAGCGAGGGGGGATGAGCTATGTATAAATACATGACACCTTGCAGGACCGACTTTTTTAGTTGGGGGGCGAGGAGGCACTGTGCTCACTTGGCCTTCCAGATGACATGTGGTGTTTTTGCCAAGCACTACAAAGGCGGGTTTCTTTTCTCCTTTGTTGAAATGCTTGGTTTTCATTTTCAATATAGCGATTCCTTGCCTGGAAACAATATCCACTAGTCATTGCAAGAGATTGCAGGTATACTTTTCCCAATCGCGGTTTGGAAAACAACAAAGAGACAGTCTAAAACCTGGCCCCTCCCTCCCTCCCTCCCCCCTTTGTCGACCACTAAAGCAGCATTTTCTTTCTATATTTTAGGAATGCGAACACAGCAGTGGCTGCTGCAGCAAGCCATAGAGTAGGAAAAAGCATATATGAATAGTACATGGCCGGCGATCACATGGATGAGGGTAGCTATATTTAGATATTGCGGAGAAGACATGATTAGATGCACAGATCATTGGATTTGCCACGACCATGCGCGTCATAGGCGCAAGCGAGAGCGAGCCCATAGGCCAGCCTGGCTTTCTCTTTGTAAGCCTGTCTATTGTCGTCTTTTTCTTTTCTTTTTTTTTTTTTTCATCTTCTACTCAGATGCAGACCCGTATTGCACTCGCGTCGTTCCTGCTGCTGCTGCTGCCACACTCAGTGGCAAGCACCTCGGCACAGATTCGTGGCCTGAACCCGGCTTTGGCCGAAAAATATGTGGCGAATGCACGGGGCAATTTCGAGTGCTTGGATGGGTCCAAGGAGATTCCGTTTGCGCGTGTCAATGACGACTACTGCGATTGCACTGACGGCTCAGACGAGCCGGGTACGTCGGCATGTAATAACGGCATGTTCTATTGCCGCAACGAAGGGCACGAGCCGGCCATTATCGACTCTGCCAGAGTCAACGACGGCGTGTGCGATCCGCAGTGCTGCGATGGGTCGGATGAATGGGACTCGCATGTGGTATGTCCCAACACGTGTGATACAGTGGGCCGCGCGCACCGGGAGTTGAGGGCCAGCCAGGAGAAAGAACAGAAGGCAGGGCAGCAACGGCTGAGGCAGCTAGTGCGTGAGGCATCGGGGCTGCGCAAAATCAAGCGCGAAGAGCTTGCTCGCAAGCAATCGAAACTAGCTGACGCCGAAGTCCATCTTGCGGAGGCCGAGCAGCTGAAGGACATGCTGGAAAAGCAGGAACAGGAGATGCGGGCCAACCAGGACAGTGACCGCGCAATGCGCAAGCAGGGTCTCTTTGACGAATATCTGCCAGATCTGATCGCGTACCGGCGGCACCTGGCCATGGCCTTGCATCGCAGCCGGTGGCAGCGCGATTCGTTGATTATGCTTCTACGCGCAGTGCGCCGCGAGCACAACGCCGAGTTCAATGACGAGGCGGTGAGTCTGGCTGTCAAGGAGTACACCGAGTTTGCCGACGCATACCCGTACCTGGAAAATGCGGCGGCATCGGTGATGGAGGAAGGCGAGGGAGCGCGGGCTGCACGTGAACAGGAGATGGACCGCGACAGCGAATTGCAAGACGACAAAAACTACGAAGCCTGCCGTGACGCAATCAATATTGCTGAGAGCGAGCGCGAGACCAACAAGGCTGACATCGACCTGCTCTACGGCATCTTGGCCAAGCTGCGCGATGACTATAACAAAAACTACCATGACTTGGCCGTCAAGGCCGCCGTCGTCGGCTTGGGAGAGTTCGAGCAGATGCGTGATGCCGATAGCACAGTAATTTCTAGCCAGTACGAGACTCTGGAGATTGCTAAGGCCCAGGAGCGCGTCGCTGAGGCCAAGGCGCGGCTCGAGCTTATACTTGACGAGACCACCGAGACTCCGGTGGATTCCGAGCAGCCTGATGCGGATTTCCAGCAGCGGTTGGCCGATGCGCGTAGTGCGTACTATACTGCGAGCTCGGATAAGAGCCAGCTGGCGAATGATGTCAGCGTGCTTTCCGAGCTTCTGGGTAAGGACTTGGGCGAGCGCGATATGTACCTGCCGCTGAAGGACAAATGCTACTCTTTGGATGCTGGCGAGTACACGTACGAGGTGTGCTTGCTGGACCAGGCTACTCAGATCAGCAACAAGGACAATTCCCGCCAGCACCTGGGCTCTTTTGCTGATTTCGCCAAGGACAGCGACGGAATTACGCTGTATACCACCCACAAGTACCTGAATGGAAACAAGTGCTGGAACGGGCCCAACCGCTCGCTTATTGCGACATTTGAGTGTGCCGAGGAGATCGAGATAGTAAAGGTCACCGAGCCCGAAAAGTGCGAATACCATGCGCTTATTACTGGCCCCTTCGCCTGCCCTATGCCGGAGGATGGTATGGTAGATGGGAAGGAGGGCCCTTCTGGGGAGACGCCTGTTCCTGCTGCGCCTCAGGATGACGCTGTTTCTGTTTCACCCATCCCCTATGCTCACGACGAGCTCTAAAAGCTTTATTTTCTTTTGTCCATTCGTTTTTGCGACTAATAGCAAAAGACATATCTATCTTCATCGTTTGACATGCCGCAACTGGGACAAAATATTGCACACTTAGCGATGACGGCACCGGCTGGCTATAGGCAGATTATTGATGCACACAATACATAGCTCTGCGTGTATCACATAGCCCTAAATAAACTAAAAATGCAACATCTGAGGGAACATGTCTACGAAATAGTTGATGTATAGGCAGTATATTAAAGTATTTTTGGTGAGGCTATGGTGCGTGCAATGGTTATAAGATATAGAGGCGTGCCCCTTCCTAAAAGATATGCTAGGTTCTGATACACAACCCATGCAGGTAAACCCGGAATACTTGGTAGCGCTGTACTTGCGTTGCCCGCTTTCCGAATATGGGGATATTGCCATCATGACCCACTGAAGCAAACATAAATTTTGATACTGTTTTCATTTGCTGATAGTCAACTTTTGGTTTTGTCAAACCATTAATTGTACTGTAACTTCATTCTCTAGTGGCATCTGTAGGTATCCAAGTCATGAATAAATGAGCCTGCTGGCCACAAACATTGCATACTCCATTACCCGTTGTCCCAGTTTGAGGCTGTTGGACACTTCATGGCTTTAGCATTGTGATCTAGGGGTGCTGGTGGGAGTGCATGGGTTTCGCACTCGGTGTGAAGGAAACAACATGGAACAATCTCCACTTCAGGAGCAAATAATAACAAGGTAATGCCTCGCATGCCCCGAACTGTGCCTCTCTATTTGCACAACAAAGCGTAGAGCCTCCACAGCAACTGCTCTTTATCTCCGCTACACTGACGTTTTAAACATACTCTTTACCATGGACATCGCATCGCTCTTTTCTGTTAACAACAAGACCTTCATTATCACTGGTGGTGCTATAGGTATCGGGCTGATGGCTGCCGACGGACTAGTTGCAAATGGCGCCAATGTCTACATTGCCAGCCGTAACGAAGAGAACCTCAAGCGCGAGTCTGAGTGCCTGACAGCTAGTGGGCCTGGCAAGTGCCAGTACGTCGTCTGTGACCTTCTTGAGTATGACCAAGTCGAGGCCCTCGTTAGAGAAATAGCGCGCAGGGAACCAAATGGAGTCCATGTCCTCATCAACAACGCAGTCTTGGTGACATCAAAGCCATTTATTGAGCTGACCGAGTCAGACATGGTGTGCGACATTAACATCACCTTGCAGCGCCCGCTTACTCTTGTCCAAAAATTCCTTCCTCTGCTGCGAAAGACAGCTACTGACGACGATCCTGCGCGGGTTATTAATGTGACAAGTGTTGCTGCTATGACAGCCCTATCAGTTTCCAATACTTTGTACCCATCGTGCAAGGCAGGTTTGGCTCATATGACACGCGATCTGGCGCAAAAGCTTGCACCCTACAACGTCAACGTCAATGCTATTGCCCCTGGTCTCTTTGCCACAATACTATATGACCAGCAGAATGAGCTCCGCAAGAAGGCTGCTATAAGTGCCATTCCTCTTAAGCGCGTCGGACATAAAGCAGATGCTGCCTCTGCAATTATCTACCTTTCATCAACGGCCGGAGCCTATGTTACTGGGGCGATAATGGTCATCGACGGCGGAGTTCTGGTAAAGCCATGATCTATAGAATGCTTGATACTATATATGCTTCCACATACTTTTTCATATATAAATCAAATTGTATCTCAACCTAGTATTTGGAAGTAGGGTTCTTCAACTATTGCCTATAGGCTTCAAATTTCAATAGGCTCAATTTCTCACATTGGCTATTCAATTCTGTTTTCTTTGGCTAATCCCCTATAGAGGTAATACAGAGGTATTTATTTGCCTAGTAATTGTTTAAGCATATTGTAGCTACTGGCAATTTCAGTAAAATAACCATTTCACCCAAACTACTAGTAGCATCTTGGAAAAGTTTTAGTGATCATGATTTCTTTATAGTTGCATAACCATATCTATTATGATATTGACTTTTGTTGCCTAAAGATAATTAATCTCAAATATGCAATTTTTTTCTTTCTAGTTAAAATCATTTTACTTAAACTTTTCTAAGATACCAATAGCAGTTTGGGTGAAACTAAAAGAAAAATATTTGTATCTTAGTATTTATTAATAATACAAAAATACACTTCATACAATAATTAGTAAAATCTTTGCTAAAAATATCTAGTAGTAATAATCTGTTCTGAAAATGATAATTCAAATATCTAACTAAATTGTAAATATCTAAAATTTATATATCTATGAATACCCCCATATACTTCCTTATAGGGGGTCATTCACAATCACTAAACTAAGTAAAAAATAGCTACTACTTTTAAAACTTTTTATTCTTTTATTTTTTTTTTATGCTTCTACAAAACCCCTATTGGCATCCTAAAAAATTTCAGTTAATTTCTTATGACCCAGTCTCTATCTCAGTAGAAGCATATTAATTGTATATCAACTGAAATTTTTTAGGATGCCAATAGGGGTTTTGTAGAAGCATAAAAAAAAAATAAAAGAATAAAAAGTTTTAAAAGTTTTAATTATATTTGAATTAGTTTAGTAATTATGAATGACCTCCTAGGTAGAAAGACTATTTCAGTAAAAGTACTAAAAGTTACAAAACTCTTAGGTAATTGTTGAGTAAATAAGCAGCTATGAATAGCCTCCAGTGCCCTTAGCTAAAAATCATTATGTTCTTATCTTTTTACATAGTGAGCTATATCTGCCCTACTCCTGCACCGTTGGAATAAGTGGTCTCATCGGCCACAATACCACACTTGATGCTAATAGCATGCTTGCGAGTAGTAACCGCCTGTGATACTGCTGCATCAACTGCCGTAACGTGGCTATAAGGGATAGAATGTTTGTAAGGCCATTTTAGCGGAAACGTCACATATTGCTCAGTACCACTGGTATAATCTCACAGCGTCTCTCTTGACCCGTGTTCCCACTCGCATCGTCATTGATATTGGCGACGAAAGTTGAATATTAACGGGGCGTGAACAGTAAAGATTCCGCTATTTTCCACAGAGTGACCGCTGAGGTGCATACAATGGGGCTATCGTTATTGATTATGGGCGAAAAACGTGATGGAATTTGGTTGACCAAAGCGAATTACTACATTTACTCACAGACTATGCGGCCATCTGCATCGACAGCGGTGGGGCTGTCAGCGTATTGTATGCAGGTGGGTCGTCCTTAAGCACTGGGGACCGTGACGGCGGGTTGTATATAGGGAGGATGTCCGTCTCAATGCTGCGACGAGAGTAGTGGCTGGCAACAGGGGGCGGATACTGAACTGGCTGTGCGAATGCAGGATCGAGCACTGTTACATGCCTAAGTGGTGCTGGCCGGCTTTGTGGCAGCTCAGCCTGCCGTTTTGTTGCACGACGGACTATGCACCCACGCAGTACACCCCACAAGACGATAAAAGCAGGGATGATGAGGAACGCAATAAATATCATGTTGTGTTGGACCAGTTCCGTGCCACTAGGAATGGACGATAGGGATGATACGGGGGAAGAAGACAGGTGTTTTTAGAGTGGCATTTGGTCAGTATTTTGTGGCCGGGTATGGCTAATTATGTATTCACCTAGCCCATTACTCCTGAAACATGCATGAAGGCTGCGCTAATGTCCAGGCGACAATGTCGTTTCGGGCAAGTCATGCAATAGCCATCTAGCGCATGACACTGTGTAATCTAATCGGCGGTATTTGCAATCTATTAAGCAAAGTTTGTATTTACAGAAAACGCCTGAGCGTCTATGCCGCACGGGCCGAAGGCGGCGACGCAATGGCTGCCTCGTATGACGGCGGCTTGTTGTAGTTGGCTGGCGTGTAAACAGGAAGCTGGCTGTCCACACTTGACCGGCGGCGGTGGGCAGTTACAGGCGGGGGCAGTGTAATGTTTTCTTGAGGCAGCGGCTGGAAGATTTGGATTGTGCTGTTTTGTTGAAAGTGCTGTTGCGCTGCGCGTTTTTTCACGTACATCCGACCCCAGGACGACAGTATTATAAGCACGATAACAACGATGAAAATTACCAGGTATGCAGAGTAGTTTACCATAGTTGATACTAATTATAAGTGTAGCAGCGAAGCAGAGATGACCTGTGGCAAGAAAAGCCGCTGACAACCAGAGTCCTTTAAATAGACAGCTGCTCCTGGTTGCCCCACGATGATGCGGTCTTGGCACCAGCGTCATGCAGCATGAGAAGTGTGTTGGGCAAAACCAGAGAGAACAGTCCACAACTAATTAGAAAGTTCTTTTTATCGTGGGTTGATTTCCTGAGTGGTGGCTCATCGCGGAGCCGACTGCGCGCGGGTTTCCAAGCGAGCAGGCTATTTGTTTTGTGACTGCTTCGGACACTGTTGGCAGGGGATATCTGCTGCTGCTGCTGCATGCGCTGGTCTAGTACCTGTTCACTCCAGAAAAGAGAGGCATTCGTGCGAACAAGCCAGTGATATAATTCTGAGCTTCAAGCCCAGTGCCAAGCATCAGGAATGGCATGACAGCGGCAGCATGTATGCATCTCTTGTGGAATTAGGCTTCAGGACATTAGAGGCCCCAATCCACCTCGACTCTGCGCTGTTGTGTCAGTGGATAGTCGACGACAGATGGCCATGGGTGCTGAGCATATTTATTGCGGAATCCAGAAGAGGTGCTGATTGTCTGTGCTGAGATATTCAAAAACCAGCATGGATAAATCCCTATGGACTCATTGATTGTCGAGAACTGCACCATTGCCTAGGTTGGAGAACAGCTATTCACAGTACCTCTTCTCTATTCTGGTGTGTAGATTCTTGGCGGTGGAGCAATAATGCCACATGTGGGCATCAGAAGGTTGCTCTGTAGCGAGTATGGAGTAAGGGTTTTTTTCTCAGCGCTGTTTTGGTGTTGCCAGTTGAGCGACGTAGGAATAGACACCACAACCGCGTTTGCAGGAGGCTCGACATGTAAGTAGCCACTAAGTCCTGCGTTAGAAGTGTACTGCGGGTGACCTGACACTGCGTTCTGAGGAATCGGTAACGGGCCAGGAGGTTGGTGGTTTTTGGGTTTATGTGGATCGGGTTTAGCGCAGGCGTGTATTATCACTCCAAAGACGAATGCAGTGGCTGCGGCTGAAACAGCGTAAAGAGTTGTTACAAGTAACATAGGTTTATCTGCAAATATTTCCAGCTATCAACGTAGGTGAGAATGAGACGGTGGCGGCAAAGAGTCGGCTGCAACAGCACAGCTGTAGACAGCTTTTTTCGCTAATAATACAGCAGAGCACCGCTGGTCCAAGCTGCTCTTGCCCTGGCGGGCAATCTACAGGCAGCTCCGGCGGTGTACGATCTAGAACCAGCAATCACCTACCAATGGATCGGCCAAACAAGTCGTGATGGGCGCAGTTAGCGTGCTGAGGAGCGCACGCTGCTTCTCAATGCAATAGTAAAAGCAGCTTCTATAAGAATAAAGAGTAGGCTAAGAAAGCAATAATACAAAGCGCCAACCAGAAAATAAGGACTCTATGAAAGGGAGACTACGTGTTGAGATATGTCAGCGACCGGAAGCGTTTCCGCAGCGACTTTGAGCCCACCAGCTTGCGTGCCCACTCAATGTACGAGTCAACAGAGAGATCATTGAGCCTGTAGACCGAAGAGAAGCGGTAGAGCGGCGCGAAGAATCTTTCGATGTTGGCAGCCTTGTTCAGCTTGTTCAGGTTGGCCCAGTATACGTCGTAGTCCAACAGAGTGCCTAACGAAAGCTTCTGCCACTGGCCATTGCTGGGAGTGCGGGCGTAGTAAAAGACGCGGAAGGCGGGGAAGTACTTGGGGATGATGCTGGGAGAGATGGTCGTGATGCTCAGGCGCGGGATACGTGGCAGCACGAGCACACGCTCGAATTCCTTGAACAGGGTGTCGACAAAATCGCCAGGCAGAGCCATGCGCATGGTCAGATCGGTGGTGGGCCCAGAGCTGGCCGTGCTCATTTTCGACGAACGACACCTCGGGGTCGTCCTCCATATCAGCCCAGTCCGCGCTCGCCCTCTGTGTATGGTGCAATGGCAGCATCGGCTTGCTGATCGGCCGTGGTCTGGACCGAGGCAGACTTGGCGCCATCGGTTGACCACACATCACGGATAAGTTTGCCAAAGTACCCTGATTCCTCGTCGATCTCCCCTCTCCCACCATAGCCGCTGGTCCTTGACAGCAGCGGCAGGCTGCACAGTGGAGTTGACAAACTCCATCGGTGTGTTCGAGGCGATCCACTCGACTTCCTGGCCGACGAACGACCAGACGTCAACGTTGCTATGGCCATAGAGCTGGGCATGCACAATAGGCAGGTCGTATTCGTCATCGCTGCTCTCACTGGGCTTGCGGTTGAGATTGTTGGTTGCCACCGAGCGCTGGAGGCGGAACGACCTGTGTGACGGTGCGGGCGTAGCCATGGTAGCACGTGGGGCGGTAGTTGTCGCGGTTGGGTATTACATGGCCCATCAGAATCAGGTCGCGGTTGCGCTGGCGAGCCCGGCGGAGCTGGTAGCGGATCCACGCAAGTTGAGCCAGGCCCGGTGAGTCGTCGGCAGCGCAGCCGCCGACCTTGGCATTGGCGCGGTACCAGTAGATGGTATTGAGGCTCAGCACGGTGATGCCGCGGGGCTTGCGCACTGGCTTCTGTTTCTTGGGGGCTTTCTTGGGCTTTTTCATGCCGGCAATGCCAGCAGCAGCGCTGGTCTCGGCAGCTGAGGGATTTTCCCCAGCCTGGTCGTCGGGCACCGAGTCGCCATAGTCGACGACGTCCTTGGCAAAGTAGCCGCCGTAGCGGAAGGTGCGCATCTGGTCGTCGGGGATAAAGCCGTGCCACGCCTTGCTCAGCTGACGGTACGTCAGGCGAGCGCGCTTGTGGCCTGGGCTCGGCAGCTCGTTGTGCGGGCTGATGTCGTTGTTGCCGATGTTGGGGACCACGGGGATGGCCGGGAAGGCGTAGCGCATGGCGTCAGCGGTAATGTAGTTCTGCTCCACGATCTCCTCAAAGGTGCGAGGGATCTCGGCGTCGCTGTCGTGGCGGCCACTGTCGCCGGTCCAGATTACAAAGTCGAGCCTGTTGGCCCAGTTTGCGCGCAGGTACTCGGCGGTTGCATTGACCAGCGCCACAGGCGAATCGCACTTTGCCTCTGGGATTCCAAAGGGCCCCGTGTGGCCGTGGCCGTCGCGGTCGAATCGCTTCCATTGCTTGCTGCTGGAGTCGGCAATGCCGTCGTCCATCACGCGTAGGCTGTGGCGGGGGGAGCTCTTGCTGCTCGATGGCGGCTTGCGGTGGCAGCTCGAGTATGTGGTGGATCCAGGCCGGTAGTAGGGGTCGACGTGTAGATCTGTGATGTGCAAAAACCGGCCGACGCTCGAGCTGTTGAGCTGTGTTTCCGTGTTCGGCGGGCGATCGCTGGTGCTATCAAACAGCGCTATGAACCCGAGCGCAACAATTGCCAGCGCTGCCAGAGCCGTGATGGCAAGCACCATCCAGACGCCATGGTTAGTAGACGAAGGCAGCTGCTTTTTTCTGCTGCGCGCTGGAGGGCTATGCTGGGTAAGCAGCGGCGTGCTTTCGTGCACCTGTGAGCTGCCAGTCATTCCGGCGAATGAAAGAAAAAAAAAAAGAGGGAAACCGTGTGCCGCTAGGAGTACCGCAGATATCGGAGGATAATGAACGACAAGGAGAAACAAAAGGGATTGCGAGTGCCAGGAGAGAGGAAAGGGGCGTGTTGTTGGGAAGCGGTGGGGCAGGGCGCCTAGGCCTACATATATGGAAAGTGGACAGCGGCAGCACAGGCTAACATTGATGGGCTTCCGAGTAAGACAGTGAGGCGGAAGGCTGGAGAGGCAAAGTGGATATAAAACAATGCGGCGGCGGCCGTCAATGGCAGCCGGGGACGGGTAGGCCACTGCGATTCCCGCGTTTAACTGACCAGTCGCGCAATATTGCTGTGGCACGCCCAGTGCGCCAGTGGCCGAGATGTGCTGAGGAAAAATATCTTTTGGAATACGAAAATAATGTGGACGAGTGACCAGGGGGCAGCACCATCTGCGAGTCAGATGCCGGGTAGGTGTTTCACTGTAGCCGGCTGCGGGCCAGTGGGGCGGGGCTAATGGGGGACAGGGAAAGCAAATCGCGCCCCCCTCCTTTCCTTGACGTCAGAGCGCCTCCGGACACCGTCGTGGCAAGTGTATGTGCAGAGATGCGAGGTAGAGGTCACATTTAGTCTAGCAGTCACATGGGGCTCCAAAAAAAAAATTGGCTGCTGCGAGAAATCGAAAAGCCGCAAGTCACTCTGACTCCTTGATGCCGAGCTTGCGCTTCAGTCGGCGCACATCCTCGTCGACAGCCGCCAGCTTGCCAGCAATGGCCATAAACGAGTCGTTCTGGTACTGGATGACGTCAGATACTGCCTTCGGTGTTGGCCGCTGCTGCTGCGATCCTGCCTGGGCATCAGCCGAGCCTTGCAGCGACGCGCTGGACGCCAGCGATGCCGACACGTGGTGCTCAAGTTGGCCAAGACGCTCGGTCAGCACCTCGGCCGATGCCTCGACGCGCGACAGCCACGCCCAGAAGTAGTCGCTGGCAATCTGCGAGTGCACTCCCCGAGATGCGGATACGCCGGACTGCCTCCTCCGGCGAGGTCGTCGTGCTTGCGCCAGGCTTGCCAGCGGCAATGGCAGCGGCTGTGGCCATGGCAGCAGCGCTGTCCTTGTCCAGCCCCTGCTGCAGCAGACTCAGCACCGACGGGACTTGGCCAGGCTTGCTGCGCATGGCCAGCATCGCCCGCTGGCGAGACGCCATCTGCATCGGCGTCAGGCCGCCCTGCGACCACGACCCGTCGTCGGTGGCATGGGCGACTAGATTCGCTGCCTTCTCGGCATGCTTGACATCAAAGTTCACCCGTGTCTTGGCCTCGTCGACGCGCTCACCGGTCGCCCTTCAGCGTCATTTTCACCACAGACAGCTCCTGCATCAGGCGCTGCACCGTGCGCGATATATCTTTTAAGCCCCTCCTCAGTGTCGCTAACTACAATGCCCTCGCCAATCTGAACCTGCACCTGCTTGTGCTGCTCGATCTCCTCCAGCAGCTT